ACTTTTGAATACATGGTTCTGAAGGTCGGCTCAAATAATTCCCTCACAATTATTTTGATTTACAGACCACCCAAAGAGCAAAACGACTTTTTCTCTGAACTCAGTGAACTATTAACGCTTGCTTGTGCATCATCAGCCCAGGTCATCTTACTTGGTGACTTTAACATCCATGTTGATACACACTGTTTTAATAGTACTCAACTAATGACTGTCCTGGACTGCTTCGATCTTTATCAGAACGTCAACTTCTCTACTCACACTCATGGTCATACGCTTGACTTAGTCTGTACATCTGGTTTGAACAATATCTCCATTAGTGGTCTGGCTACTCCTATTTCTGATCATAAGCTTATTATTTTTGACTTTACACTATCACATAGAAAACAGCTATGTTAGATTCGAATAATATTTTACTATTTTTACAGTATTTTTGATCAAATAAATGCAGCCTTGCTGAGCAGAAAAGGCAAAAACATTAACAAATCTTACCGACCCCAAACTTCTGATGGCTAGTGTTACATGCAGGTTTATGAAGTGCTGTGGGGTTTGACGTTAGCAGCTCAGATCTTTGTGCATTAAGCTGCAGTGATGTGTTCTCAGCGGTTTGTCTCTGGTTTGGTCCGGTCTTCAGCAGGGTGAGGTGGACTGCTGGCCTCTGTCCTGCCCGCCGGCGGACTGTGACTTCACGCTGGTGCCCGAGGGCGAGTGCTGCCCGCGCTGCGTCTCGGACCCGTGCCAGGCTCACGCCATCCGCAGCGACATCACCAAGACCTGCGAGGACGAGCACGGCATCACGCGCTTCAGCGGCTCGTCCTGGGTCAAACACGGCACCGACTGCACACTGTGCCAGTGCAAGGTGATCACAACACACCAACACACACAGAGATCATCAAACACACAAACAATAAACAGGAAAACATACATGACATGCAGACAAAGAACAACAAACGGGTAAGCAAAGATATGATTAAATTGGTTGATTTATTTGTTTGTTTATTTTCTGGCCAAATGTTCATATTGTGAAATTAATTATTTACATGTATTTATAAAATAATTTGTGCACAAAATAATAATAATAAAAATAAATAATAATACCTTTTAATTTTATTTTAATACATAATTAGCATACATTTATTTGTATTCATAATTGTAATTTCCAGGCCTGGAAAAATCGCTGGTGCCCGAGGGCGAGTGCTGCCCGCGCTGCGTCTCGGACCCGTGCCAGGCTCACGCCATCCGCAGCGACATCACCAAGACCTGCGAGGACGAGCACGGCATCACGCGCTTCAGCGGCTCGTCCTGGGTCAAACACGGCACCGACTGCACACTGTGCCAGTGCAAGGTGATCACAACACACCAACACACACAGAGATCATCAAACACACAAACAATAAACAGGAAAACATACATGACATGCAGACAAAGAACAACAAACGGGTAAGCAAAGATATGATTAAATTGGTTGATTTATTTGTTTGTTTATTTTCTGGCCAAATGTTCATATTGTGAAATTAATTATTTACATGTATTTATAAAATAATTTGTGCACAAAATAATAATAATAAAAATAAATAATAATACCTTTTAATTTTATTTTAATACATAATTAGCATACATTTATTTGTATTCATAATTGTAATTTCCAGGCCTGGAAAAATCATTGAAATGAGTAAAATCTTACAAATGCCAGTGCTGAATTCAGTTTAAAAATAATAATAATACCTTTAAAAAAATTTTTTTTTTTAAATACATAATTATTTACATTTTATTTATATCCATTATTTTAATTAGATCAGATCATTAAATTAGTCTAATTCATTGTGGTGATCAAATGCAATGCAATGCAATAAAATGCGCTGGAGTAAAAGAAAAAAAAATGTAATGCAAAATAATGCAATAAAATACAAAAAATGTAATGCAAAAAGGTAAAAAAAAATGCAATGCAATGCAATAAAATAAAATGCAAAAGGGGAGAAATGCAATGCGAAGCAAAAAAATCTAAATGCAATGCGAGTGCAATAAAATAAAAAAATGCAATGCATTTTTTTTTAAATCCAGTGCAATAAATTAAAATGCAATGCAATCAAATTAAATTAAAAATGCAATAAAATAAATTAAATGAGATGCAACAAAATAAAATGCAATATTACAAAATGTTTATTTATTCAGTCCAATTTATCATGTAAATATATTTACACAATAAGTACATAATTATTTACATTTTATTTATATGCATTATTTTAATTAGATCAGATCATTAAATTAGTCTAATTCATTGTGGTGATCAAATGCATTGCAATGCAATAAAATGCAATAAAGTAAAAGAAAAAAATTTAATGCAAAATAATGCAATAAAATATAAAAAATGCAATGCAAAATGGTAAAAAAAAAAAAAATGCAATGCAAAGCAATAAAATAAAATAAAATGCAAAAAGGGGGAAAATGCAATGCAAAGCAATAAAATAAAATGCAATAAAATCAAAATGCAATGCGAGTGCAATAAAATAAAAAATGCAATACAATGCATTTTAAAAAAAAATCCAGTGCAATAAATTAAAATACAATGCAGTGCAATGCAATCAAATTAAAAATGCAATAAAATAAATTAAATGAGATGCAACAAAAAAAATGCAATATTACAAAATGTTTATTTATTAATTGTGTAAATATATTTACACAATAAGTCACTGTTTGTCAAATACACAATAAGTCACTGTTTGTCAAATCACAAACAGTGATTTATTATGGTATATATATTCCTATAATTGTAGTTCCAGTGTGTGATGTATTTTTCTCTCTCTCGGTCTCTTCTCCAGAACGGACACATCTGTTGCTCAGTGGATCCCATGTGTCTTTAGTCGCTGCGCTCGACGCTAACAGCACCTGTACAGTCTCACGCGACCGTCCCTCCACAGCCTTCCCCAAATAATGCCAAATATGAATCGTGTATAATATCAGACAGACGTCAGCGTACCTGAGGCCATTTCTGCACAAACGAGGACTATAACCCCACCGACCACGCACACGCCGGCATGACCACACTGGATGTCTAAAGAATAAAACATTCATTCATTTTTATCTCTTCAACGATCACAGGATGTAGAAATTTTAGCTAGTAAGTAAATCTTATCGTATTTCTCTTTTGCCTGGTTATGGACGTCGACGCTGTTTTGTTGGTGTTTTCACCGCACTTTTTTCGTGTCTGTTTTTCCGTCTAGATTTTAAATGATTATACGGCTTGTTCTTGTCTGATGGTAAAATAAAATATCTCCATTTCCATTTATGGATGTGTTGACCTTTCATTTTCCCCAGCGGCGTGTTGGGGGAAAATGCAATGCAAAGCAATAAAATAAAATAAAATGCAAAAAGGGGGAAAATGCAATGCAAAGCAATAAAATAAAATGCAATAAAATCAAAATGCAATGCGAGTGCAATAAAATAAAAAATGCAATGCAATGCATTTTTTAAAAAAATCCAGTGCAATAAATTAAAATACAATGCAGTGCAATGCAATCAAATTAAAAATGCAATAAAATAAATTAAATGAGATGCAACAAAAAAAATGCAATATTACAAAATGTTTATTTATTAATTGTGTAAATATATTTACACAATAAGTCACTGTTTGTCAAATACACAATAAGTCACTGTTTGTCAAATACACAAACAGTGATTTATTATGGTATATATATTCCTATAATTGTAGTTCCAGTGTGTGATGTGTTTTTCTCTCTCTCGGTCTCTTCTCCAGAACGGACACATCTGTTGCTCAGTGGATCCCATGTGTCTTTAGTCGCTGCGCTCGACGCTAACAGCACCTGTACAGTCTCACGCGACCGTCCCTCCACAGCCTTCCCCAAATAATGCCAAATATGAATCGTGTATAATATCAGACAGACGTCAGCGTACCTGAGGCCATTTCTGCACAAACGAGGACTATAACCCCACCGACCACGCACACGCCGGCATGACCACACTGGATGTCTAAAGAATAAAACATTCATTCATTTTTATCTCTTCAACGATCACAGGATGTAGAAATTTTAGCTAGTAAGTAAATCTTATCGTATTTCTCTTTTGCCTGGTTATGGACGTCGACGCTGTTTTGTTGGTGTTTTCACCGCACTTTTTTCGTGTCTGTTTTTCCGTCTAGATTTTAAATGATTATACGGCTTGTTCTTGTCTGATGGTAAAATAAAATATCTCCATTTCCATTTATGGATGTGTTGACCTTTCATTTTCCCCAGCGGCGTGTTACGGTTCCCCAATATGTCGATTGAATTGTTTGAGCTTGTTTTTGTCTGTTTGTGTGATCCTCTAATCACATGATTTGACTATAAACCAACAGATAGCCTGAACCAGATTTCTTCTGTGCATTAAGAGAAGTCTGATTCTTTGTGGCATTCAAATAAAATCAAATGCAATACAACACAAAGCAATAAAATGAAATACAATAAAAATTACTTAAAAAATAACCGTAATATACCTTTATATTATTGCTATTATTTAAATGTATATAATTTATTCAGTGCAATTTATTCAGTTTAACTATAATTTATTCAGTCTGATTCATTGTGGCATTCAAATGCAATGCAATAACATATATAAAAATAAAATAATAAATATTAAAAATATAAATAATCATATTTATTTATGGATGTGTTGACCTTTCATTTTCCCCAGCGGCGTGTTACGGTTCCCCAATATGTCGATTGAATTGTTTGAGCTTGTCTTTGTCTGTTTGTGTGATCCTCTAATCACATGATTGACTATAAACCAACAGATAGCCTGAACCAGATTTCTTCTCCCAATGGGATTTGTTCTGTGCATTAAGACAAGTCTGATTCTTTGTGGCATTCAAATAAAATCAAATGCAATACAACACAAAGCAATAAAATGAAATACAATAAAAATTACTTAAAAAATAACCGTAATATACCTTTATATTAGTGTTATTATTTAAATGTATATAATTTATTCAGTGCAATTTATTCAGTTTAACTATAATTTATTCAGTCTGATTCATTGTGGCATTCAAATGCAATGCAATAACATATATAAAAATAAAATAATAAATATTAAAAATATAAATAATCATATTTATATTATTATTACTTTTTAAATGTATATTTAATTTATTAAGTGTAATTTATTCAGTTTAATTATAATTCATTCAGTCTGATTCAATGTGGTAATAAATTGTAATGCAATGCAATGCAATAAAACCAAAGGAAATAAAATAAATATTACAACAATGAAAATGCCCATAACATACTTTTATATTATTATTATTATTATTATTTAATAATAATAATATGTTATTTATTATTTATTTAAATGTATATAATTTATTCAGTCTGATTCATCGCGGCATTCAAATAAAATGAAACTAAATCAAATGCAATGCAATGGATTGCAATAAACTAAACTAAAATAACTGTAATATTCCTTATTATTATTATTATTTTAATTATTATTTTTTTTAAATGTAGCCTATATAATTCATAACAGGCAGGCACTCAATTATATGATCAAATACACAAACAGATAAACAAATAAACAAGCAATAAACAGGAAAATGACACAAACAAACAAACAAACAGGTGATGAAAGTAAGGACATACAAATAAAAGTCGACGCTGTTTTGTTGGTGTTTCCACCACACTTTTTTGATTCGCTTTCTGTGTCGTTTTTTTTTCCCGTCTAGATTTTAAAATATTATATGGCTTGTTCTTGTCTGATGGTGAATACAATATCTCCATTTCCATTTATGGACACGTTGACCTTTTATTTCCCCAGCGGTTGCGTTTGCAGACTGTGTCGCTCCGCTAATGCCGCTAATTAAACGGCTTTCTATGACCTTCTCCTCTACCTGAAACATCATCATTATCTCCACCGTCCTCGGCCCGTAAACTTCACTCAACCAGCGGCCGACTTCCTCCGCCGAATCCAAATGCTTCCTGTTCCTGTATGTTTTGAATATTGCATGAATATTCAGCAGACGCGCGTGTCGACTGCTTTCCTTCAGGTCGCTGCGTGGAAGTGTTTCAGAGACACCTCTGTTGAAAAACACCCCCAGTTTCCCAAACTCCTATCACTGATGGCTAAAAGCTGCATTATATTCGGTCACGAATGTTTCATAAATATTAGAAGAAAAGTTTGTGGGAAACCAAAATTGAATTTCATTTGTGAAACAAAAAGAGATGCTTAGATTTGTGTCCATGCCAGTGTTATTTTAGAATTTAATTAAATTTCGTAAAATTGACCCTTATGACTGGTTTTGTGCTCCAGGGTCACAATATGATACAGTAGTTTTAATATATTATTAATATTATTATTATAATTTTTGCACAATGATCAAATGGAATGTTTTAAACATTTTAGAGCATTTAAAAAATATGGATGTTTAGGGAACGTTTAGAAATAAAATTTTAATAACTTAATGGGGACGTTAACAAAGCGTTCTTAGACAATATGTTTCTTAGTATGTAAAATAAAGCTGCATATTTAGTATATAGAGGCGTGCCATAATATAGTTGTTTACATTTTGTGACGATATAAAGAATCGCGTGAGATTTGAGGTTCACTATATAATATATAGCGCTATACGTGAGTGTACTGTATATATTTCAGCTAACAGGTTCTCTCAAAGTTATGAACAAGCGTTCCTACAGTAACATTAATAATATGTTCGTTCAAAGTTATCTGGTCTTTAATAATATTCTCAGAATGTTAAAACAAAAATGTTATTCATACAACATTCATGGAACATTTTTTCTGAAATGTTTGTCTAATGTTACTACTTTTTCAGAATGTTCAGATAAATCGGAATGTTCTAATCACCTTCGTATAATGAAGAAAAAACGTTTTTAATGCATTTAAAGGGATAGTTCACCCAAAAATGAAAATTCTGTCATTAATTACTCACCCTCATGACGGTGATGAATTTTCATTTTTGGGTGAACTATCCCTTATAATGGTTCCATAACTTAACGGGAATGTTAGCAAAACATTCTTAGTATGTATTTTTGTTAGTGGATAAAGTGTGCAATAATATAGTTTACATTTTGCAACAATAAACAACCTAAAGTTGTTGAGAGTAGTGCTATTCTGAACACTAGCATACTACTATTACTGCATCTACCAGATTAAGATATATTAATTCAATAGTATGTCGGAAGTAGCATGCAGGTATACTTTTGTAAATTTAGTCACTCAATTAGACTGAGGATGTTTTAATGACTACATTTATTTTAATGACTGCAGATCCTCTTATTTTCAAAAGATTCAGTTTTGTGTCTCATTAGGCTGCACTAAATATGATTATTCATTTTTATTAGAGGATAAAGATCCACTGCAACAAAGATAAAATGGTGCAAAAACAGGCATATGGCATGTTTTTTTATTTAAAAGTTTTTAAATGTTACTTGTTTCGGAATGTTCAGAACGTTTCCAAAATGTTTGCAAAATGATGTAACGGAATGTTTTAAACATTTTTAAAAACTGGACGTTTAGAGGACATTCAGAAATAATGTTTTGATAACAAGATGGGAATGTTTCAAAACGTTCTTTAGAATTTTTTTATTATTATTTAAACGTTTCGCTGTATACATATATATTCAACTATATAGAGTTCACTGTGTGATAATATAGTTATAGGTGTACGGCTTTGTGTGTGTGTGTGTGTGTGTGTGTGAGAGTGAGTGAGTGAGTGTGTGTGTGTG